GCTTCGCCACCTTTCTTCCCTCCCTCCGAAGGGTGCCAGGCACGCTAAGTAGTGATTAAACAAAAGATTAAAATTCCATTTGCGTGTGTGAGTGTGTGGCTGTTTGAACACTAATCACATCTTCCAGGGAAACGGTAAGTAAAAGCACGAAGATACCAGGAGCAGTTATTTAGAGGGGCCAGTCAAAATCCATTTCCAGTTTATTATTTACTGCGATTTCCACGTTAATTCTGCCAGCCTCCCCCACCCTTCTCCCTCTCCTTTCTTGCCATGCTCCTTCCCAGTCCCTTATGCTTCCGGTAGCAAAAGGATATTTGCAAACTGAGAAGGAAAATAATTCCCACTTTCCTAGACAGATCTGTGAGTCTGTAGAATTAAAGAAACTTTAAATTATCTCTGGACTAGAATTCCAGGCGTGTTTGTTGTTGGTTTTTTTTTTTTGTTTTTGTTTTTGTTTTTTGCATGATATTAAATGACCTCTATTGCAAAGAATTGCTGTCTTTTGAGAAGCATTGTCTAAGCCTTTCTTGTTGCTAAAGGTCGTGTGGCATTTGTTTCTAATGTAGATTGCCATTATTAATTAAGGACACTTGGCTTTCCTGAGGAACATTGGATTTCCACGGGGCCATATGACCTGTTAATGAGGAAACTCTAAATCCTGTTATCAGCAATAGCCAGTTGAACTGGCTCCGGTGCAAAATAGGTTGCCTCTGCAGGGCTCACAGTTTTATTATTTGATTCCCATCCCTTTCCTAGTGTCTCTCCCGCCCCTCCCCACTCTTCCCCCCATCCCCAGCCCCACTCCCCAAACATGGTCATCGCAAACATTGTATCACAACCTTTCTCTGAAAAGAATGAATTGATAGCAGTAGTCCGTTACTGGCAGGGCCTAACTTTGTGCCAGACACCAATCTAGATGCTGTGTAGAGAGTGACTCAGTTCATCCACCCAACAACCTGCAGGCCATTCTGTTAGTTTTCCCTATTTTTTCAGTCCAGGAAACTGAGGTCCATCTCCCCAGGAAGTAAAAACCTAGGCTTTTCCAACTCTGGAACCAGAATGTTCTGAATCATTAGGCTACCTATCACAGTGATGAGCAACCACTCATTCATTCACTCATTCCACTGAGGGCCTAAGGTGGGCCAGGTATCGGCCTACGAGAGCACAGTGACATGCACTTGCCTGCAAGAAGCTCACAGTCTGGCTCGGGGAGAGAACAGCCAGACCTGCTGTGGGTTGGGGGCTGACAAGTTATGGGATTTAGGGCAAGTCTGTCCCACTCTGTTAGTCTCAGATCTCGTATCTGTAAAATGAAGCAGCTAGTTTTAGACAGGTGTTTTTCCACCTTGATTGTGAATCAGACTCAACTGGGGAATAGTGTTAAAAACACATCATCCTAGCTTCCCAGCGCCAGATACTTTGATTTAATGGGTTCAGTGTGGGGCCCAGGACTTTACATCTAAAGTGAAGTCTCCCAAGAGCCAGCGCCCTTTGAGAGAAACGGATCTGGCTGTAAACTCCGTTGCCTGTTCCCTCAGTGCCTAGCACTGAGTGGTTCTCAGTAAACGTTTGGTGATAGTTTGAATGATCTATGAGCTTTCCACGATGGACCTCAGAGACTCTTAAACACCTGAAATTGACCACAAATTTTATTAAGGTTTGTGGATAGGGCCCTGTGGGCTCTGATTGCTCTGTTTTCTCCTACTAACAGTTCCGACCTTTTACTGGAATCTTTTAAACCCATATAGTAAAATTTGAGTCCTATATCAAGGTGATTTGGTGGGAACATGTCAATTTAGATTCTTAAAACCCTAGAAGACTTGATATCCACATTCTGTGTGTAAGTTCTGAAAGTGCTCAGAACACAGGGTTTGTGATTTTTCTCAGTCCATCTGAAAGTATCCTTTGGGCAGGAGTGCCATCTCCATTTTCCTGGTAGAAAAATCGAGGTGCCCGTGACTCCGGTAGCTTGTCCAAGGTTCATATTGCAAGGGTTCTCTCCACTGAGAACTAGCCCGGAAGTCAACAGGCTCTTCTCTTGCCTGCTTGTGTAGCCTTGGGTAAGTAGTATGGCTTCTTTGGGCCTCAGTTTCCCCACCTGCAAGATGAGGAAGGAAGGGCTCATTGTCTCTGAGCAGCTGCTTAGCTTGGATATTAGAGGACCCTCTCCTAACTACAAGTTTAGACGTGCAGAACCCCTGTGTCCACGAGCGCCAAGGTCTCTTACGTTAGGGATGATGGGAGAACTCGTGATACCACCTACAACAGGTCATCTCTGCAGATCACCCCAGAGGAACATACACCTTTAAGGCAAAGTCAGTGGAGATGGTAGAAGCCATGGGTATGGTGGAACTTCTAGAATTTAGGAACCTTAATTCTCTACCCTGTAAGTTCAGCAATTAATTCACTGCCCATTCTGAGAACAAGATTTAAGGAGTTTGCTTCTGTGAGGCCACAGCTGTGAGATTCAACCCCGTCCCCCATTCCCAGCTGTGTGGGAAGACTTTCACACAAGAGGAATACGAAGGAAACTGTGCCCATCATGGAGTCTTCGACTCTCAAAATGTCCTTTAAAGGTCACGTAATGGTGCTCCATGGGCCAGCAGCGTCCGCATCACCACGGAGCTTGTTAGAAATGCAGAATCCCAGGCCCCGCCCAGATCTCCTGAGTCAGACCCTGCGTTGAACAAGATCCCCACGTGATTCTGTTGCACATAAAATGTGAGCAGCACTAGCCTGACCAGCCCTTGATTTCCTCCTTCACACCCTGATGGGCAGCCTGTTCCTGGCCTCTTCTAACGTCTTCCAAATGGTCCTGTTTCATCCTAGCCCCCTGACCCAACCCTTGGAATTTCTTCTCCATCCTACACTAGCCCCTCAGTCATTCCATAACTTCTGCTAATAGCTGCAGGTGGTGTGGGTGCTGCTGTTTTCGAGACCACACTTTGAGAATCACTTTGAATTGGTACCTTCCGTTAAGGCTCCTGCAGGGCCTTTTGAGTTCCCCCAGTGACCTAAAGAAACCAGCCGGAGTTCCAGTCTTTGGGCAGCAGAAAGTGGAAAAGGCCTTGGGAAGGAGGGCTGGAGAAAAATCGCTAAATAGCTCACGATTGATCAGTCGTGTCATTGAGACATATTTATTTGGGCAGGTCCCTGACCCACCCCAAGGCTCTGTTTCCGTATCTTTGAAATATGGAGGTGGCCCTAGCTCAGTTTCCAAGTATATTTATTTGTTCACTTGCCTGGAGATTTGTTTTTAGCAGAGGACCATTTTAAAATGAAACCCCACCTGGATCTTGAGTACAGAAAACAGAGAGATGCATCCTGGTCTGATTGGTCTGACTGACAGAGGGTCAAGGACCTGCGCTCAGCCTCCCTCTCCCCGAGGCAGCACCAAGCATTCCAGTGCAGCTCAGCACAGTTGAAATCCCCGGAAGGCTGAACTTCCAGCTCAGCCTCTGCGATTTCTGTGAACCCCGAGAACCGTTTGCGGGCACGTGGCCTCTGTTTTTTCTTTCCATCCCTGACCAAGACATCCGGAAGGCCAGCTTTCGGAATTTTCTTCTTGCAACTCGGAGAGGCCTGTAGGAGGGAGGACAATGTATTGTTATTGTCATTAAAGCTGTTGTAAGGATATTGCACTGTTGTAGACAATCTGCTAACTTAAGAATCAGCCGGAAACTTAATTAAACCAGTGTGTGGACTGTTTTATCCCGGTGGCTTCTTTCTACAGCTGACATTCCGGCACACCACACTTTCAGGGCCTTTGTAGTTAATTACATAGGAAATAGGACTATTGGATTCTGCACGCCACGGTGGCAAGGACTGGCTTGCGGGAATTTTAACGGGCAAGGTGACGTGGAAAGCCAATCTCATCCAAGGGAACACGGAAGATACCTAAGTGGTGTTACCTTGGGAAGGTTCTGAGTCTTTAGACTTCGCCACAGGGCGTGGGAAAGCATCTGGCACATTCAGGTGACCCCAGGCATGCAGCCTCATTTAATTAGGGAAACTGGCTCTAATGGGCCCAAGAGGATGGGCTCCCCTCCCCAGATGCATCATAAACAGCTTCAGAGCCAGACCCCATGCTCTCTGGGGACTGTTGCATCGGCCTGTTTCCTTTCAGCATTCAACTGTTGGTTCATCCATCCCACACAGTGGCCAAATGTTCACCCTCCTGTGACTTCAGAAATGAACAAGGCCAAGCCTAGTTTTGCGACTCTCCTATCCCTGAGAGTCTGTGCCCAGGCCGTTTGCCTTGCGTGCCCCTCGTTTCAGCCTGTCTGAAGTTCAGCCTTCTGTCATGAAACCTCCAGTTCTCCCAGGTGGAGGTGAACACCTGTAGCACTTTCTGCGGGCCTGTCATCAGAGGGTCACCTACACTGCCCCACCCCTTAGGTAGCCACCGGCCACCTGTGGCTGTGGTGCACGTGAAAGGGGCCTGAATCGAGATGAGCACAAGTGTAAAACACACGCTGCAGGTTGAAGACTTAGTACAAAAACGAAAGTAAAGTATCTCAATGGATTTTTTACATTGCGTGGTGAAATATTTTCCATAGCGTTTATCGGGGTAAATAGAGTACATTACCAAAACTAACTTCCCCTGTTTCTTTTTCTTCCCAGCGTGAATACTAGAAAACGTAAAGTTGCAGATGTGGCTCACATTTGTGGCTCGTGGTGGTGTTATATTTCTCTTGGCAGCGCCACACGTACTGCTTTTTCTTGAGTGAAAGGAATGTTTGTCCGTCTGGGTTTTTCTCTGCTGGTTTCTGACTCCTAAGAGGGTGGGCTCATCATCCGGACTTTTGTGTACCTGGGTGGCACTGACAGAGGTATACAACGGGGGTCAATAAATGAACCATTGACAGACATTCAATCGATGCCAAAAGCTCCCTTAGACAGTGTAATTTCTGGGTCTCTGTTATTAAACTTACTTCCCCCTTTTCTTTTCCTTTTTCACAGTTTTTGTCTTTTTCTTTTTTTTTTTTTTTTTTTTTAAGGGATCACAGAATCAGCAGAAGAAGATATTTTTCTTGGGAGATGGACAAAAGCTGAAGGACTGGCATGACAAAGAAGCCATCAGAAGGGATGCTCAGCGTGTAGGTACGGAGAGAGGTGCCCTCCACGGGCAGGCCTGTGGAGAGAGTATGCGTGTGAGCATGTGTGTGCGTGTGCGTGTATGTGTGTTTAATGGGGTGTCTGGACCTCCTGTCAAGTCCTCTCCATCGGCCACCTTCTACCCTCCCTTCCCCTGATTCTGGAATCCCCTCTTCACCTGTGAGCTGGCCCCATCCTTTCTCCACTCACATCACCAGATCCACTGCTTTCAGGAATTTGCCTTGCCACCTTTATTGGGCGATAAAAAATGTCTCCCCCTTATGAGATGTTTTATCACTAAAATGAGGAGCAGCGATAATAAGAGCCACCATTTATGAGTATTTACAGTGAGCACGGCTCACGCTTCATTCTGCACATTTTCTCGGTGAATCCCCAAATCAACCTTTATGGCCCATTTGATGAGAAGGGACCTGTCGTTCAGAGAGGTGGGGTAATCTGCCCACTGTCACACAGTGAGAAAGAGGAGGCTGGAGGCTTAGAATTTAAACCCAGGTCTGGAAGGCAGAGTTGACCCCTACCAGCCCTACAGCCACGAGGCTGAATGAATTTATTGGGCTTCAGCTAACATTTTCTTTGGCTAACTCGTCTCTGGAGCAGTTTCTGTTACAGCTGGGGAGTTGGGAAGGGAGATTACTTGGAGAGTTATTTGTAGAGAGCCTGGACTAGGAGTCAGGAGGGCAGCTCTGACACCCCTTATCAGCCATGTGGCCGTCAGGAAAATTCCATAACCCCTGAGCTCAGTTTCCCCTTCTGTCACTGGAGCTCATGCTTCCTGCTTCGACAGCCTCGGGTATTGGTATGAAGTAGCTTTACCCTGGAAAACACTAAAGAAATAGAAGCGATTGGTATTTTATTCGTTTTTATCTCAGTGAAAGGCACCCACTATTGATTTTCTTAAAATCACATTATGACAAAAACCAGATTCCAACAAGGCTTTGAATAGAGCTGAAATGATAACTTAACTGAAATTCAGGGAAATCTAAAGACACGACATGCATTTTTCTGTATGCCAGTAATTCAGAATGAAGGGTTAGGTTAGGGTGGGGGAGGGCTGCTTAAATTTAAAAAAGGAGACATTTCAAAGGAGCTGACATGCCAAACAGTTGTACCAGAGTCATTAGCATGCCAAAGAAAGGAGTAAGCCCTGGAGAAATTATCCAGAATAATAATGACCGGTGCTAACTGGGTACCAGATGCCTTGCCCTACATCACCTCCTTAATCATCACACTGAACCTTCTTATCCCAATTAAGACACAGGCGACAACCAAGACATAGACAGGCAAAAGGCACGCCCAAGGGGACAGAGCTGGGATAGCCCGGCTGGACTCTGGCTCCCACCCTGCCCACTGCAGGGCCCACTTGATAGCTCCCGTCCTGTCTTCCTGAGGCTCCCGCCCCGAGAGCTGCTTCTGCTTCTGCTGCACCTGAGTCCCTTGTGGAACCCGTCCCAGGCACTGGCCCACGGTGTTTGACATGGAGCGTCAAACCGATGGCAGTCCTCTCCCTCATCGGGCAGGATTGCAGTAGCTACAGTCCATGAGCTCCACCTCTTAGCTTGCACCTCCCCATCAGGCTCGTGCTGTCCATATTCGCTTTACAAACAGCACAGGACGATGCTCAGAGCGTACGCTCCAGAGGATGAGGTCCTGTCTGACCAGCCGTCTCACTGCCGTTCCTTCAGGACCCTCAGCAGTGTCGGATTCTGCAGTCTCGGTGCGGACATCCCCACTCCCCACCCGCATCCTGGGAACCCTGAGGATAACTTCCTGGAGCACCGGGAACTCTTTCCCCAGCTGGATTGTACAGAGAGCAGAAAGAATACCGCTTTATCCAATCGAGTCGGTGGCTCACATCAGCGCTTTCCAAGCAGTCCTGCCCGAGCCTGGGCAGATCTTAATTTGTTTGCTGGTTTTAAAAAACTCAAAGCATCTTGTATCGTTTGTGGCTATTTAAAAAAATTTTTAATTTTTTTATTGATTAAGGTATTACATATGTGTCCTCATCCCTCCATTAACACCCCTTGACTTGGATATAAAGTTTGCCCTGCCTGGAGAATAGCCATAACATTTCCTCACATTTATATGGTGCTTTATCGTTTACAAAAAGCTCTTGCCTGCACAGCATCTATTGGGCTCTCAGCATGCTGTGGGTACCAGGGCGGGTCAGCTACAGTCAGAGAGGTGCTGTGACTGCCCCGGGATTGATCAGCTCGTACGTGGACCTAGTCTCCCTCCAGGTGATTAGACTCCCCGGTCAGGGATAATTGGGGCTCCTGGCAGAGTGGAGGGAGCACGGGCTTTATCCATCTATAGGCTGAGGGCTCTCATGTTCGCCCACTTGCTTCCTGTGGCGATGACACGAGGACAGGCTCTATAAAGTGTGTGGCTCGGCCGTGACGGAATGCTCACTCCCTTCCCCTCTGTACACTCCCCCCTGCAAAAGCTGCACAGACCCTCTGTATCCAGCATCAGGTTTCATCTTTGTGGTTGTATCCTATTTTCCATCCTTCGTCCCCTGCCATTCAATTAGCAACATTGACTTTGCTCTTTGCTCCCAGGAAATGGAGAACAAGGGAGGCCATACCCCATGACGGATGCTGAGAGAGTGGATCAGGCGTACCGAGAAAATGGATTTAACATCTACGTCAGCGATAAGATCTCCCTGAATCGCTCTCTCCCTGATATCCGGCACCCGAAGTAAGTGTGACATCTCTCATCCTCTGGGATGGGAGGAGTTTGCCCTCCGCTCTTGTTGAGAATTAAAGCAGCAGGTACAGGAAGCGCTGCCGGAGGAGAGTCCCTCCTGTTACACGGGGCTTTGTGGGAAAGTTCGTGTGATCCATGTTTCTAGGATGTAGAGCAGCTGTGGCAGAGGGACATAGAGACAATGGTGTCTCCCTAAAAGGGCCAGTCACCTCTCTGTGTTCAGACAGTGGGAACAGGGAACCTCTGCATTTCCTTTGGGCTCTGGCCCACGGGGAAGTTCAGACCTCAACTTAGAAGACAATTGCAATGACAGTTTCAACCATTACTCTCCACTCTCTGCGTGTGGTGTTCCTGTATTTTTAATCTTTATTTTAGCTATCCTGAGTATATTTATGTCTTGTGATAAGCTACCTCAAATCATTCGAGAGGGGACGTATGGAATGATTATAAAGGTAACTGTGGCTCCCAGCCAGCGTGGCAGTGGTTGAGCCTCAACCTGGGAACCAGGAAGTCACAGTTCGATTCCCGGTCAGGACACATGCCTGGATTGTAGGCTCGATCCCCGGTGTGGGGCGTGCAGGAGGCAGCTGATGAGTGATTCTCTCCAATCGTTGATGTTTCTATCTCTCTCTCTCCTCCCGTCCTCTCTGACCAGGACTAGAACTGTAACCTCCTAGTTCATAGGTCGACGGTCAAACCACTGAGCCTCGCTGGCTGGGCTTAAAGTCATGATTCATATAAGGCCACTTGGTGAATAAGGACTGAGCCAGGTGTTGGGCTCCAGTCCACCCAAAACCTATGCCTCGCCTGGAAGCCATCTGCCTCCCGGGCATTTTCAGTAGGGTTACTGTGGTGGTCGTGTGATTTGCTAGTAGAGCTGTTTATTGTTCTTAACGCTGGTGTGCATTAGCCGTCTGGAGGGCTGATAGAACACGGGATATTGAGCTTCCCCCCTGTAAACCTGGATCGTTAGATTTGGGTTGAGGTAGGAGCTGGCATCACAAATAAGCGCCCACGGGATGCTCGCGCAGCAGAGCTGGGTCCACGCCGTGGGGACCATTGCAAGTAGATTTCACGCTGGCTCCTCCATGAAGGTAGTTCTGAGAAGCACTGGAGCATAAAGGTTCTGTTCAGGGACTAAAAAATAGAGCCCAGGAAAAGAGAACAATGGCTAACGCTTCTAAGGTTCTTACTGTACGCCAGGCGTCGTTCTAAGCCAGTGCTGTTCCCAAAGCTGGGACTTCAGCCTTACCCAGGAGCTTGTCCAAGTGCACATTCTCAAACCCCAGCCCAGATCGACTAAATCCAAAGCTCCAGGGTGGGGCCCCGCACTCTGTGCTTTAGCTAGCCTTCCAGATGATTCTGATGCACACTTCAGGTTTAGAGCCGTGTTCTGGGCACTTTCAGGGCATCAACTCGGCCAAACTTTCCAAAAACTCAACGAGATAAGTACCTTTATTGTCAACATTTTACAGATGGGGAATGGAGGTACAAAAAGGTTAAATAATTTGCCTAAAATGACAGAGCAGGGAAGGGCTGGTGCCAGAAGGTGTATGCAGAAATTCTGACTCTGGAATCTGTGCTCTTAATCACTGAAATATAAGGTCTCTCCACCTGCCAGAGTTCAATTGGTAGAAAGCAATAATCAAGAATTAATCTTGGTAGCATGTTCGGCTACTCACCAAACGCTTTCAGCCCCATTACATCTGCCAGTCCCTGCAGCAGGGAGTCGGCCGTACTAGCATCTCCACTTGGCAGGCGAGGAGACTTGCCTACAAGGTGCGCTGCTTGCCCAGGATGGGGCCCTTTTCCTAAGGATTTCTCTTAGGGAGGGGAGGAAACGAGGGTGGGGGGGAAGGGCCTTGGTGTGCTCCCCTGTGCGGCTTGCAATTTGTTTCCTGGTCTTCACTGTCAAGCCCGAGAATTTTTTCATCCAACTCTGAGCATGTAGTTCAGATATTGCTGATGTTTCTGGATTCAGAACTGTGACCTGACTCTGAGGGTCAGAAACTCAATTTATGAGTTTAACCCCTTGCAGAGTTTAGAATTCTGCACTAATATCATCTTTCTGGCTCTGGGAAAGAAGTTCATCCGGGAGCTTCATCCCCTCGACTCCGCTGTTCCGTGGTACTGTGGGCTCTCTAGCTGTGCCTGGGGTGTTTTAAAAACATACAAGGGCCCTAGCTGGTTGGCCTTCAGATTAAAGGGTTCAGGGTTCAATTCCGATCAAGGACACATGCCAGGGTTGCGGGCTCGATCCCCAATGGGGGGTGTGCAGGAGGCAGCTGATCAGTGATTCTCTCTCCCGCTCCCTTCCTCTCTGAAATCAATAAAAGTATATTATAAAAAAAAAACAAACAAAAAAACATACAAAGGCCAGGACACCACCCCAAGCCACTGGGCTCTCAATTTCTGGGGTTGTGGCCTGGGTCTCTGTGTTTTCTAAAACCTTTAAAAGCAATTCCTACGTGTAACCAGGGATGAGAACTGGTACAAAGTAGAAATATGTTTACAATGAGAGAAAGAGAAGCTGAGTGTGGTCACCGCTTTCATCCAGCCACTCATCTGTTCATCCGGTAAATAAAGAGTGGGCAAAAGTAGGTGTACAGTTGCTCATATGGAAAAGTAACACAGTAATTAATTACTAATACAACAATAAACTGTTTCATAAACTCACCACTGTAAACCTGCTTTTGCCCCATCCTGTGTACGCATAATGGTCTTCTGTGTGCCAGGCCCTGTGCTTGACATGCTGCTAAAGGAGCCCTTATTACTACTGCTTTGTGCAAGGGTGGGCAGAGGCATAAGGAGCTCATTGCGCCACAGTGAGACCACCAGTAATAGCGGAAGGCAGAGAGTGCTCGGAACCTCAGGGCACCCCCACCGGGCTTGGAGGAAGGGGAGGGAAGCAGATGGGGTGGAGGGGAACATTACAGGTAGAGGACTGCCTGGGCGACCCAGTGCTCGTTCTTCAGCTCACGAATTACAAGGCTGAGTCTTTGCTGGTTAGAAGTGGAGCCAGGATGGGGACCCGGCCCTTTGTCCTCCAGCGCGGAGCTCTTTCCCGACAGCCGGGAAAGAGAGCCGGCTTCCTAACGCAGAGCTCCGCGGTCCTCGGAGAGAATTCCGGAGGCTCTGTACACAGAGGCGAAAAACGTTGCTTTCTTTTTCTCATTGGCCTCTAACCGAAACGTGTTCCCTTCCGTTATGACTAAAGCGCCTGTGATGTAGTCACCACAAGGAAGCATGCACTTCCTCATCCCTTGACAGATGACCCTGAGGGGTGGTGGGCACCCATCACTGCTTGGAAATGAAGGTAGTTTCTAGAACTGCACCAGGTCTTGTGGCTTCCTGTGCCCCTAAAGAGGCACATCTATTACTGTAGTTTACATTCTTTTATTAACTTGATAACTATATTCCAGTCTCATTGGTTTCCTTTGCAGTCTTGTGTAGTTTATTTTATGAGTTAGAAGCCTTGTTCTCAGAAGGGCTCACATGTATTACCCAGCCTGGCAGAGGGTCCTGGACAGAAGTAAGGCGAGGACCCTAGTTCTGGGTGGATGGGAACTGAGCTGGAACATGCCACAGGCTCCTCGGTGACCAGCCACCCACCCAGCCAGCAACCACGTTACAGCAAAAAAGGCCCAGCACTCCTGACTCCCCCCTTTTTCAGAATCCCCGGTTGTGGAGGCTGACTTTTCAGAACTGAGTTAACAGATGTCTTAAAGAGCTTTTCTTTTTCCTTGGGGAGGAGGGAGAGAGGACTTTCCTGCTCTGTGACAAGCAGGAATTATGAATAAATGAGAGCAGTTGGGCTGCTCATTCCCTCTGGTTTCTTTTCACTTAAACAACTTTCCCAGCAGGAGCTGGGGTTTAGGTTTGCCTTTTATTCTTCGAATTGAATTTTGGCAGCAGCACGTCAAGAACAGGGTCGAGGGGCCGTTTGCTTGTGCCAGCTACACTGGCTTTCCCCAGAAGCCGCACGGGGGAACGCGCAGCCACAGAGAATAATGGAAACTAGAAAATTCGGCCTGTCTTACTGTGCTTGCATGTGGGAGGCGGCCAGCTGGCTCTGAGCAGACCTGCCCTCTGCACCTCCTGTCCAGGGAGAAGAACAGAGGCTGGCTGGTGGGCTGGCCCGCTTTCCCCGCTCCAGGGGGCTCCTTGGGCGGCTAGACAACCCCTCGGGCACAGAGCTGATGGCGTTGGAGCCCCAGCTGCTAAGGTGCCCCAGGCCTGCAGGTTCCTAAGCAGAGCCCTCTGTTCAGTGACCAGTTTCTCCCATGTAAAGACTGTCCATAGTGGGAAGGAAAACAGCCTCCAGTTCTGACTGCTTTCTCCAGATCCAGGCCATGGGCTTCGCTTCCAGAAATGAATGAACCTGAAGGGAATCTGTTGCAATAAAAGGCCCAGGTCTACCAGATTCCTGGGTCCATGCTCCCTTTAGCTTTTTGCTTTTTTGTTAAATTAACATGGTTAATTTATGGTGCATGCTGAATTTCCTGAAAAGAACTGACAAGTTCATATTACTATAATAGACTAGTAGTAATTATTGAGCATCTTTACATCCCCAATAGATTTCAAAAGCAACAATGGAGGGAGTTATAGCCTAAGTTTGACAAACATGTGTTAAATATATACTCTGGTGGGGAAGTGGGGGAATGACAATTTGAAAGCACAGGAAATTAAAGCCAACCACATTTGTAGTAGCAGTAATAATAATAATAATATTAGTGCCCCAATGTGAATGTACACATGAACATTAAAAATGCTCTTTAGGGGCCAAGCTGGAGGAATGGGGACCAGATTTACTCTCTTAGCTAAAACAACTGAAAAATTTTTAAAAAGACACTGGGTACCAGGAAGTGAAGGAGCGTAATCCTAAAGGGATAGGAAACAAGTGAGGAGAGCAATACATTGTCTGAGCTTTTTTCCTCGAGAGGGTTTTCAAGCCACCATGCAGGGAGTGGGGGCAGGTAGAGCCCCGAGGA